TATTTTAGCCCATTAACTGTATTACCAACATCATACTGAAATATTCAGAACTTCTGACTTAATTCTCTGAATAATTTAGTTATCAGTTACACAAAACATGCCTTAATAGAAGGAATACTGCTAGGAATGAAAATAACTACAGGGATAAAAGTGTTTGGGGCAGGGGGGGATTTTGTTGTCTTGCTTGAATGGAACAAAAGTTATCGATCAATACTTTTTAGCAGACCAGTGGCTTTTGACATAGTTGTCTCTTTCATGCCTATCAGTTCCTATAATCTCAGCTCTATTTCCTCCATTCTTCCTTTTCCAATCATAAGTATTTGTCTACTTTTCATAACAGATTTATATGATTCCTCTCTGGTTTTTTTTATCCAAACAATAGAACACAATTTTAGTAAAATTAGTGCAATTGGTCTGAACCCAATAAAGAGCTCACTGTTTGCATTTACATTCCCTCTACTCTTAAGATGAAATCACTCCTTTTTTAAAAATCAAAACATAATTGATTATACATATCTGTAGGGTACAGCATTGAATATCAATATCCATGTGCAATATGCGATGCTCAAATCAGGATAATTAGTATATTCAACATCACACAATGTAATCTTTTTTTGTGGCCCTTTACCAATTCCACTCTTAAACCTAGTCTTTTGTCACCAGAAAATGGGAAGAACGTACATTATACACTTGTTAGAATAAATTGTTCTGCCTTGCTTTTTTTAAAAAAAAATTGAGTAGTACATTTCTTCCAGCAAAATCAAGAAGTAAAATTATAGAAAGGGAAAACACATGGCTGTTTAGTCTTTGCATGATTATGCTAACAAAGCATAAAGACCAGCTTAAATGTTCATTTCAAATGAAAGACAATTTTTGAGAGGGGAGGAGTTAGTCATTTATAAAAGCTCCTTTATTTAAATTAGTGCTAGTAAATATAAGGACTCTCCTTCAGTTAAAGCCTTTTACAAGAACACTTTAAAGAATAATTGGTTTTGCCCCTGTTTACAAACTGTTTTGGACAAACAAAGCCACTGTTTACAACTGAGCATCAAATAAGCTTTCAGATGTGATTATGAAGATCTTGCCTCTTACAAAGTGCTATGTGCAACCTTAGATTTCTATCATCTTGGCTTTCTACTTTTCATAGCAATAAGCACATCCCTCCCATTTCTCCCTGTCCATATATACTCCTTTATTTAATACACAATTTTTCTCATACTCCTACCCATCTTTACCTATAAAACATGACGGAAGAGTCCATGTAGAACATGTATTAAGTATTGTATGCAGTCAGACAATTTTCCTTTTAAAAAACTTAATGTTTTCTTTTCAAAAAGGAGATAATCTAGGAACCTTCTCTAGCTGCCAGTAATGAAAACATAAATTCTAGGTCAATGGTTCCAAAATTTGCCTGACCATTAGAGTCACTTGTGACACTTGTCAAAAATACATAGTCCTAGGTCGCATCTGTGATCTGAATCAGAATCTCTAGGTGAGAGGTCTGGGAATCTGTATTTTAGACAAATGTCTGCAGTGATTCTATGATCAGTAAAGCCTGGAAAATTACACTGGGATCCTTGTCCCTGAAGAACCTCGAAAACTTGGAACTTACAGAAAATATTATGACTAGAATTTCAGAGTTTTCCCTTTGCTAAAAACAGTGTTTGTCCATGAATCCTCAATTCATCAAGACCTCAGATGTTGATGTATCTCCTGAAAACCACAGACACCTGGGAGGAGCAGAAAAATAAGTTAGTTAAAAGCCAATGTTTAAGTTCAAAACAGGGCAGGAGTAGAAAATACGGATTTTTCTTGATTCTAGTGCAGAGCATTACCTTTGGTTCTACAAACTAAAACTAAATTGGTCTTATTTTCATTTTTTGTAATTTTTTGCTGTAACTCTTTATATAGAGAGAGGCTGGGCAAGGAGGAAAGAAATCCAGAAAAAGGAATATACCCTCCCTTACGGGCTTCCCCAGGCCAATAGCCAATTGCTCTTGCTTCTCCCTGCGCCACCAGCTTCCCTCTCTACTGCTCTATGGAAAGTGCTCCCTCAGTGATCATCTCAGTGTCTACCCTTCAGTGGTCCTCTTCCATCTTGTTCTCCTAAACTTCTACAATATTAACATTGCTCTTTCTGGAAATTCTCCTTAGTCTTGATTTCTCTAATTTTACTCTAACCATGTTCTTTCCTTCCTTTTTAGCCTCTCCTTCTTCCTGTCTCTTCTTCTTTCTGTCCCTTCACTGTACACACGCAGTATGGCTTAGTTCTTATTTTCTGGCCTCACCCCATTCATTCCCTCGAAGCGTGCATCCATTCTCTTAGTTTCAGCCTCCTCTCTGGGTGATGATAACCATCTAATAACGATGTTGATGATGGTCACTGCTTACATCTACTGAGCACTTACTATGTGAATTGTGAGCACTTTGTATGATTTATAGCATTTAATCTTTCCAACCTTTAAGAGATACTATTACTGGCCCAAATTTAAGGATGAGGAGATTGAGATTTTGATCAAAACCCTGAAAAGCCAACATGAACAGCTTCCCATCCTGTCTCTTTTGTTAATGACTCTGGGGATCATGACATGTGAATTACTATAGTATTAAAAATAAGGAAGTATTGTGAAAATATTGGAAAAGATGTTATAATACGGGGTCAGGATCTAAGAATTCACACTAATCTGTGAATTATTTGCAATGATTTTGTTTTCTGAGTCAGGTTTGAGATGGACCCGTCCTGATTCATTGGCACCACCAGGGATCGTGAATTTAATAACTTTTCCTAATGTTCTCATAGCCAAACTGGTCTCTATGTTTTCTACTTTATGTAAAGAGCCACAGCTTCAGTGGGAGGGTCCTGGTATCCCCTTCACTGCAGAATTATCATCCCGGAGTACCGCTCTCTTCATTTCAGTCCCGTGCTAGTTAATCAGTCTCAATTGCTTACTGACTTCATTCAAATTCTTCAACTACAACATGACCCCAGTTTACCCTCCCAATCCTAGTTCCTATTGCTCTACTCTACAGGCCCTGTGCTCCAACCAACTGGACTACTCACTGCTTTTTACACCAGCCCTGCTCTACCTCCATGCCTTGGCCCATACTCTTTCCACCATCTGACATGCACATCTCCCCCCATCTGTGAAAATCCTACCCATTGTTCAAGACCCTTCTCAGATGCCACTCTACTGTTAAGCTTCTCCTGATCTCTGGAACAAGAGATGAACACCAACTCCCTTGAAGCTGCAACATGCTGCCTCCACACCCTGCAATAACATTTTGTTTGTACCTCTCTGAAGGCACTTTGATATCTAAGAATAATAGCAATATTTATGATGCACTTACTATTCATCAGGGGCTTTTAAAAAGTGCTTTACTATATTCATTGAGGTCATCCCATTTTATACCTGAAGAAACTTAGATATACAAAGGGTAAATAACTCGCCCAAAGTCATACAGCTCATGAAGAGAGACCAAGGTTTGTCCACTCAAGAAGTCTGCCTCCAGAAGCTACACTCTTTACCTATGTGCTATACTGCCCCTCGTTCCCCACTATCACTTAAAGGCCCTCAACATCAGGCCCTGAGTCTGAAGTATCTTTTGTATCCCCCAAACACAGTGGCTCACACAGAGATAACAGATAAGTAAATAAGGAAGTGACTTCCAAAGGCCTCCATGATATGCATTTTCCCACCCATCCTATGTTTCTCCCTCTGTCCTCCTAACACACCGCCTCCTCTCTACTCAAGTCCCACCCCTAACTGTCCCATCCTCTTCAGTGCCTCTCAGCTTAACTTCAGGATTTAGAACATTCATACTTCAACAGACATTTATGCAGTGACTACTCCGAAGCAGGCAATGAGGAGGGTAGAAGTGACACCAGGATGAATATGCTACAATTTTTTAAAAAGTACACAATTAAGTTATAACATGAGAAATGCAGGATATTTAGGAAAATACAGGAGGTCATTCAAAGATGGCTTCTTTGGAGGAAAAGATGCCTGAGTTTGTCTTAAAGGTTGAAAAGGGGCCAGTGAAAAGGAGGATGGGTGCAAAGGGCAGCATTCTAGGCAGCAGAGCAAACCCAGTATTCTAAGTTTTCCAATAATTCAGTCTAACTGGAACTAAAGTGCCAGGGGTTAAGTGTTGGAAAAGAGGCCAGATCATCAATAGTTTATTAACTGATGCTAGGATTCTCCCTCTCCCCGACCCTCTCCCAAAGAAATGCGCTACCTTTAATAGATTTAGGTAGGAGAATAATAATGACCAAGGACTTCTTTTTATAAAGATCCCTCAGGCAGCACTATGGAAGATGGGTTGGAAGGGGAAGAATTATAAATCTGTTGAAGAGATTGGAACGGGCAGGAGAAATATCCAGGAGACTGACTCCAGGACAGCCTCGCTCAAGACCACCCTGAGCGAAAAGACTTCTCTGACTGCATTAGCCCTTCATGCCACCCTCCCACCCAACTACACCCACACTCCTGCAGCACTTGTGAAGTCTGCAGCCCCCAATTTGGCTTTTAATTATATTGTATGTTACTCCCTAAGTGTTGCCTGTACTTTATTCACGTCTCCCTAGATAAAACAACACAGTAAGCGTTTATGCAATTGAAATGGCTTTTTAGGTCGTCGAGGCCAGAGCCCTGACTTACTCCCTGGGCTCCGCGCTACCCACCCGCCCCCGCCACCCACGCGCGGGCCCAGCCCTCGGCCTCGCCAGGCGGTCAGGCCGGGTCGGCTGCAGACAAGCAAGGGGAGGCCTGACTGAATCGTTTCACCTCCTGGCTGACCAGATCGTCGCCCGCTCCTGAGACCTGGCAGGAGGCTGTCTCGAGAGTGGCAGAAGACGCCTGCCACGGCTGTTAGACCCGCCGTGTCCACCAGAGGGCGCATCCTGCTGGGTTTCCAGTTGTCTGGGCTCCGCAAGACGAAGCAAATGAACGCTGACATATTTAGACCCTCTGCGGTGGCCGTAGCTCCTGACAGTTAAAAACAGGAAGTAGAATTTTTTTATTTGGGACTCAATATTCGGGTGAAAAAAGCGAGGGACTCTGGAGGGACTTGTTCGCTCCGGCAGCTGCATACGTTTTCAGGGGGTCCTTTCTTCGCCTTCATATTTGTGCCCCCTCCGCCCGTTCCTGCTCCCGTTGCGGTATTTTGTCCTGAGCCGGCTCCCGTCTCTTTGTGCGGAAGCCTCCGCAGAACCATGGCCGAATACTCCTATGTCAAGTCCACCAAACTAGTGCTCAAAGGAACCAAGACCAAGAGGTGAGGCCCGGCCGCGTTTGGGCGACTCTTCCGTGCCTTTCTGACATGCTCCGCCCCCCGCGTGTCCCATGGAGGCCGCAGAGGGCCGACTTTCATCCTGTGGGCCCTTGGGGCAGGCCTCTTGTCCCAGACGCGCAGAGGCCGCGACTCAGTGCCCGACGCCTGTGCAGAGCGGGGACAGGCCGCAGGGACGCGCCCCGCTGTCGCTCCCTGGAAAGGGAAGAGGCAAGAGAGGGAGACCAGTAGCCCGGGAGCCACAGTGTGTGTCCCCGAAGGCCTCAGACTTCTGCAGGGTGGGTCTGCATTAGCCTCAACACGTAGATAGATCATAACGACAGCTTCCCTTAGTAGTTGTCTCCCTGCCCCCGAAAATGAATTCCTGATTTTGTTTTTTCTAAACATAATGTGCAGAGTGGAACTGGGCTGAAGCAGGTAGTGGTTAAGGTGATGGGTTTGGGCAGGGATATGGGCCCGCATCTGGACTCGACCATTAGTACTAATTTTGTGATTTGTGGCAAATTGGTTAATGTCTTTGAGCTTCCATTTACTCATTTACACTCTAAAAGAATTCTTATGACGATTAAATCAGATAACACGTGTGCAGTGAATAAATAGAGCCAAATGCAAGGACAAGGCTGTAGTGGTGATTTATGATTACCAGCTTTTTAGTGAAAGATGCCTGTCCACTCTTATCTCCACCTCTTTGTTCACTGGTGGATTTGTCCGGGGTTGACTCTTCACACAAATGTTGAGCATTTCCTCTTGGTCTCAGTGATGAACAGAATTTTGGGTACTTTTAGATGAGATGGGAAGAAAATGTCAAGGAGCAAGCTGAAGTCACTGCTCTTGAGAACTCTGCCTAAGGGTCTGGCATCATGAAGAAATCTTGAATAAACCTAAAATTTTACTGTCTGAATTTGCTGAGAGGTTAGCTTCTGAAAATTTACTTAATTATTAAAATGTAAACAAGTATGTCTTCTTGTAATTATAACTATGAATCATAATAATGTGTATGTAGCACTTTCTATATGCCAAGAATTGTTTTACACCCTTTGCATATTAACTTTTTTTTTAATCACCCTTGGGGTTTTTTTTCATTATCGAGATGTAATTCATATACCATAAAATTCACCCTTTTAAAGTGTGCAATTCAGTACTTTTTAGTTTATTCACGAGGTTCACCGCTAATAGATAAACATTTTCATCACCCCAAAATGACCCCTTACCCATTAATCAGTCTCACACACCCCATTCTCCCCTCTTCCCACTCCCTGGCAACCTACTTTCTGTCCATACAGATTTACCTGTTCTGAATATTTCATATAAATGCAATCATACAATATGTGGCCCTTTGTGTCTGGCTTCTTTTTACTTAGCACAGCACTCTTGAAGTTCATCTGTGTTGTAGCACAAGTTGGTACTCGTTCCATTTTATGGATGAATAATATTTCACTGTATGGATATACACGTTTTGTTTATCCACTCATTAGTTGATGGGCATTTGGTTTGTTTCCATTTTTTGGCTATTATGAATAATGCTGCTATGAATATTCTTTTGTAAGTGTTTGTGTGGACATATATTTTCACTTGTCTTGGGTATACATACTTAGGAGTGGAATTGCTGGGTCATATGGTAACTCTGTGTGTAACTTTCTGAGGAATCCCAAACTATTTTCCAAAGAAGCTGCTGCTCCATTTTACATTCCCACCAGCAATGTGTGAAGGTACATATTAACTCTTAATTCCCACAGTAATCTTAAAAGTTGGGTTAAGTTATTATCCTCACTTTATAAGTGGGGAAACTGACTTACTGATTGAATACCTTTTCTAAAAATCACAGCTAAGAAGTGACAGAATCAAGATTTAAAACCAGGCAATCTGACTCTCCAGAGTCAGCTCTTAACTATAACACAGTATGTACAAGGCTAGAAGTAACTTCTCAATTCTTTAAGTAAGAGGGTACATCAGTGTAAATTATCATAAATTAATAATTTATAAATCAATGTACAGCTTAAAAGACTCTTTTAAGTGGCCATCTTCTGAATTTAATATACAAATCAATATATCTAAACTCATCTATATAAATTATCTCTTGTAGTAAGAAGAAAAAGAGCAAAGATAAGAAGAGAAAAAGAGAAGAGGATGAAGAAACCCAACTTGATATTGTTGGTGAGTCAGGTCAATACTTTATTCTTTTTTTAAGTTTTATTGAATCAAAATTGATTATACATATTTTGGGGGTTCAACATTGAGATATGTTGATCAAATCAATATTACTAGCATATATATTGTTATAAATCGTAATTATTCTTTATGCCCCTTGTCTAATTCCTCCTCATCCCCCTGTCCCTCCCCCCACCCCCCCTCTAATCACCTTAGATTTCTTCTCTCCCTCTGAAAGAATGATGGTTACTCTGTTGATTTGCTGCACAATGATCTGTCCAATGCTGAGAGGCGTGTTCAGGTCCCCCAATACCATCATAGAACAGATGTCTCTTCCGTCACTATGAAATGGGCTCTGTGGAAATAGACATCCTCCTCCTTTCTTCATCTCTGCTGGTGACTCTCCTTGTGTCAACTCACTCCAGTGGCTGGTGGACCATCTGTGTGGTGGTTGTGGCATCTAGCTGCCTTCACGGCAGCCATGGTTATTGTGGTGGCTGTGGTGGGCCACCCACATGGAGGAGATGTTTTTGGTCTGCTCGGTGGTGCTGGCACTGTGCCTGGTTGTGGAGAGTGTCAGATCCCCGGTTCCATGCCCCGGGTCCCCGAGTGGGTCCTGAGGTGCTGGCACAGTGTGCCTGGTTTTGGGAGGGGGGTCCAGTCCTCAGCTTCTTATCCTGGGTCCCTAGGCTTGCTCCAAGGTGCTGATGCAGTGTGCCTGGTTGTGGGAGGGGGTTTCGGTCCCCTTCTCCATGCCTCAGGTCTACAGCAGGCCCCAAGGTGCTGGCACGGTGTGCCTGGTTGTGGGAGGGGGGGTCTGGTCCCCTTCTGCATTCCCCAGGTCCCCAGGCAGGACTCGAGGAGCTGGTGAGGTGTGCCTGGTTGTGGGAGGGAGGTCCAGTCCCCTTCTCCATGCCCTGGGTCCCAGGGCAGGCCCCGAGGTGCTGGCACAGGGTGCCTGGTTGTGGGAGGGGGGTCTGGTCCTCTTCGCCATTCTGTGGGTCCCAGGGCAGGCCCCAAGGTGCTGGCATGGGTGCCTGGTTGTTGGAGGGGGGTCTAGGTCAATACTTTATTCCGAGAAAAGTTAACATTTGTTGAGATCCCATTTAAAATATTTTCTTAATTGGGAATTTATGACCTATTTATAGTTGTCTTAAAGTGCTCAAATGTTATTTACAGTTGTAAATTCCATTTATTTTTTAACACAGTAGATGCCATTGACACCTTTTCTTCATTATTAGAACAAAGCACAGGAGAAAAGAAACATAAATCTCATTTAATAGGCACCATCAGACTACTTAATAGCCAGAGATTCTGATACATAATTTTAAAGGCCTACTATAGACAAATATTATTTAAGAACATATATTTTACAAATTATTCTCTTTGAACATGTATGCATTTTAATTGTAGAAGTAGGTGATTTGTTTGTCTCTAAAGAAAGTACATTCACATTAAAAATAATTATTTTGGGGGCCGGCCCGGTGGCACACTGCTATAGTGCGCCGATTGGGAAGCGCGGTGGCGCTCCTGCCGAGGGTTCGGATCCCACATACAGACATGTTCCCGCTCACTGGCTGAGCGAGGGGCGGGAGCAACGCTGAGGGTTGCGATCCCGTGGCCGGTCCCGGTCCGGTACGGGCGCGACACTGAGGGTTGCGATCCGTTGCCGGTCACGAAAAAAGACAAAAAGGAAAAAAAAAATTTTTTTTTTAAATTTTAAAAAAATAATTATTTTGTAAACTGCGAAATGAATGAAAATCTTAATTAAACAGAATAGAACATCAAGGTAGCCTCTAAATGGCATCAGAAATAAACTGACCCAAACATACTTAACCAGCCTATTTTCCATTTAGTCTTTTTATCCTTTCCATACAATTATTTTCTCATTTAAAACTTGGCAAGTTACATTTTGAAACTTCGTAAATTACGGCTACTTTAAAAATATGTAAGAATATGTACAGACCGGTTCCCGCTCACTGGCTGAGCGAGGCACGGGAGCAACGCCAAGGGTTGCGATCCCGTTGCCGGTCCCCGGTCCGGTACGGGGGCAACACTGAGGGTTGCGATCCGTTGCCGGACACGGAAAAAGACAAAAAAAAAATAATAATAATAATTGATGAGATTTTTTTTGTAGACAATAACATCTTAATTTGCAAAAAAGAGACAGTTTGTGTCTTCCTTTCAGAAAGTTTGTTTTTTTCTTTCTTTTTTGTCTTAGTATACTTAATAGGACTTCTAGTATGATGTTAAGTAGAAGTGATGAGAAAGACTTCTTCCTGCCTAGAGGGGAAAGCTTTCAGTCTTTCACCGTAAGTGTGATGTTAGTTAAACATTTTTATTTGATATACATTATTAGCTTAAGAAGATCCTTCTATTCCCAAAACTGTCAAAAAAAAAAAAAAAATATGTAAGAATATGGAATGGTATAAAGCTAATGTTCTGGAAAATCTCTCATTTTTTGAAGTAGCAAATCAACAATTCTAAAATTAGGGTAAATATCTTGGATAGATATGTAGCTGTGGGATTGCTTTGTCAAAGGACAGCTGAATATTTAACTATGTAAAAAACTGCCAAAAATTCTAAAGAGATTGTACCATTTTACCCTCCCACCAAGAATGAACTAAAGTTTCGGTTGCTTCACATCCCTGCCATCAGTTCATGATCAGTTCATGGTGTTATCTGTTTTTTCTACCAGTCTGTGATTTGCGTTTTCATTTTCTTAATGGTGTTTTGTTTTGGATGAGCAGAAATCTTTAGTGAAAAATGAAACAAAGCCCAGCCTGTTTTATTTTCTTTGATGGTTACCAGCTTATCTCTCTGATCCAAGAGAGCTTAGCTTATCCCAAGGTCACAAAGATATTCTTCTACATTTTCTTTTAGAGGCATCACAGTTTAATTTTTTACATTAGATCTATCATCCATCTCAAATTCATTTTTAGCATGGTGTGAGAGAGGTGTAAAAGCTCTTTTTTTTTTTTTCATATTGATGTCCAGTTGTTCCAGCACCGCTGTTGAATAGACTTTCTTTTCCCCATTAAACTATTTTGATATCTTTGTCAAAAATTAATTGACTCTTTTTGTATTGATCTATTTCTGGATTCTGTCTGTTCCTTTGATATAGTTGTCTTTTGCTCTATTGATATATTTGTCTTGATTACTGTAACTTCAGAAAGTATTGAGATCAGGTAGTGTGAGTCCTCCAACTTTGCACTTTTTTCAAGATGAACGATTCTAGGTCTTTTAAGTTTCCATATAAATTTTAGAATCAATTTACTAATTTCTACAATAAAGCCTATTTCTGGGGGAATTGTATTGAATCTAGATCATTCAACCTCTTAATAATATTGAGGAAAATCAATTTCTGAGGAAAATCAACATCTTAACAATACTGAGTCTCAATAATTTGTGATTTTCAGTATAACTGTCTTGCATGTCTTTTTAAAATTTATTCTTAAGTATTTTATAATTTTCCATTATTGTAGATAGAATTTTTAAATTTTATTTTCCAATGTTTGCTGTCAGCATATATACAGTTGATTTTTGTATGTTGACCTTGTAATCTGAGACATTGTTAAATTTACTTATTATTTCTAGTATTTTTGTTTTGTTATAAAGAAAACTAAGAAATCTGCAGTCGTGTTTCCTATGTCTATAGTTTTACTTCTTCCTTTCCAATCTTTGTGTCTTTTATTTCTTTTTATTGCTTTACCATACTAGCCAGGACTGCTATAATAGTTGAATAGAAATGATAAGAATAAACATATTTGCCTCATTCATTCCCAATCTTAGACAGAAAGCTTTTAGTCGTCCACCATACAGTATGGTATCAGCTGTAGGGTATTCATAGATACATTTTATCAAAATGAGGACTTTTCCTTTTAAACTTAGTTTCCTGGGAGTTTTAATTGTAAGTTGTTTAATTCTGCCAAATGCTTTTTTCTGCCTCTGTTGAGATGATTATATGACTTTCTTCATTTATTCTGCCAATGAATTGCTTTGGTTTTATTTTCAACTCTTAAACCAACTTCAGATTCCTAAAAAAAAAACCCTACTTGGTTATGACCTGTTGTCCTTTGGCACATTGCTGGATTTGATTTCTAATTTTTTTCCCAAGGATTTCTACATCTGTGTTGATAAGAAATTTTGGATTTTTGTTTCCTTTTCTGGTAATGTTTTTATTTGGTTTTGGTATCAAGGTAATATTGGTCTCATAAAATGAACTGTGAAGTTCTCTCCCCGCCCTTATTTTTGGACACAGCTGTGTAAAATCAACATTATTCCTCTTTAAATGTTTGATAGAATTAACCACTGAAGTAATCTGGCCCTAGAGGGTTTTGTTTTATTTAGTTTTGTTTTTTGTGGATAAATTTTTAACTTTGAATTAAATTTCTTTAATAGATATTTTCAGATTTTCTATTGTGTTGCTTTTGGTAATTTGTATCTTTTAAGAAAATTTTTACTTCATATAAGTTGAATTTATTTGCATATAATTGTATAATTGTTCAAGATATTCCCTTATCTTTGTAATATCTGTAGAATATGTATTATGATCTCTTCATTCATTCCTCATATTGGCCATTTATGCTTTTGCTTTTTTTTTTTTCTCAGATCAGTCAGTCTAGCTGGAGGTTTACTAATTTGTTGATCTTTATAAGATTCATCTTTTACTATCATTTATTTTCTCTACTGTTTGTTCATTTTCTATTTCATTTATTTCTGGTCTTTATTATTTCCTTCCTACTTATGGTTTACTTTGCTCTTTTTTATAGCTCCTTAAGGTGGGAGTTTAGAATCCCTTCATACCCCTTTAGCTACATCCCACAAATTTTGACGTTTTCATTTTCATTCAGTTCAAAATATTCTCTAATTTTCCTTGTGATTTTTTCTTTGACCAATGGGTTATTTAAAAATGCAGTGTTTAATTTCTGCTATTTAGAGATATTGTTGATATCTCATTGTTGCCGGTGTCTAATTCATTTGTAGTATAGTAAGAAAACATACTT